CACACACACACATGGGAACACAAACATCCCACAGGAACCCAAACATCCCACAGTCACCCCCTCCCTCAGGAACCCAAACATCTCACAGGAACCCAAACATCTCACAGGAACCCAAACATCCCACGGGAACCCAAACATCCCACGGGAACCCAAACATCCCACAGTCACCCCCTCCCTCAGGAACCCAAACATCTCACAGGAACCCAAACCTCCCACAGTCACCCCCTCCCACAGGAACCCAAACATCCCACTGGAACCCAAACATCTCACAGGAACCCAAACATCTCACAGGAACCCAAACATCCCACAGGAACCCAAACATCCCACAGGAACACAAACATCTCACAGGAACCCAAACATCCCACAGGAACCCAAACATCCCACGGGAACCCAAACATCCCACAGGAACCCAAACATCTCACAGGAACCCAAACATCCCACAGTCACCCCCTCCCTCAGGAACCCAACATCTCACAGGAACCCAAACATCTCACAGGAACCCAAACATCCCACAGGAACCCAAACATCCCACTGGAACCCAAACATCCCACAGGAACCCAAACATCCCACTGGAACCCAAACATCCCACAGTCACCCCCTCCCTCAGGAACCCAAAATCCCACTGGAACCCAAACATCCCACAGGAACCCAAACATCCCACAGGAACACAAGCATCTCACAGGAACCCAAACATCCCACAGGAACCCAAACATCTCACAGGAACCCAAACATCCCATGGGAACCCAAACATCCCACGGGAACCCAAACATCTCACGGGAACCCAAACCTCCCACAGGAACTCAAACCTCCCACAGGAACCCAAACCTCCCACAGGAACTCAAACATCCCACAGGAACCCAAACATCCCACAGGAACCCAAACCTCCCACAGGAACCCAAACCTCCCACAGGAACCCAAAAATCCCACAAACAGACACATAAAAAGTGCTTCAAAGTTCAGCTGCAAACCTTCTCTTTCAGATTCAAACTGCAGGTTTGTCAATATTTAATATTTAGGTTTTTAAGAACTGAACTCTAAGTTACCACTTTGGATGAATGAGAGCACAGAAAGAAAGACTTGTTAAAAAATAGCATTCCTTGGAGGTTTGCATATCATCTGCAGCGTTTCCTCTTTGTTTTACTACAGCTGAGCTCAGAGGATGTGCTGTAAATCACTCTCAGCTTCTACCACACCACATATCTGTAAAAGTGTTTATGATGTTTGCTAAAGTCAACCAGCTGTGGCGGCCATCTTTAAAAAGGTACTAACTACTCCAGACAGCTGTTTGTTGAGCGTTCCTCAACTTTCAGTCTGTTGTTGCGTGTTGCAGCAAATTCAAAATGAGTGAAAATTAAAAAACAATAAAGTTTATCAGTTTGAACAATAAATATCTGGTAGTGGATTCAGTTGGTTATAAGTTGAAAAGGATTTACAGATGACCATATTCTCTTTTGATTTATGTTTAACACAACAGCCCAGCTTCATTAGAAGTGGCGCTGTATATTTACTGGTTGATAATGTTTGTAAGCATTTCATAACAGAATATCTCTTCAACCAGTGAACATATTTAAAACTCTAGATGCATTTATATTTGAATAACTTGTGGCATGGACCCATTTAAAGCTGGCTGCCACAGCTAGATTCTGACTGGACGTCCAAGAATAACAAAGTTCATGCTTAAATGAGATAAAAACTGTAAAGTATTTTTCATTGAACGGTGAGTAACAGTCTGTGTGATCTGGATGTTTTCTCCTCACAGTCACACATCTCGGAGCATTTTTTCCCCTCAGTCCTCCTCGGACAGAGTTTCCTGCTGACTCGTGGGTCTGGACTTGCTGCGAGCTCTGCCCTCCATCTTCCTGTCCTGCAGGAAGTCGTGAATCTCTCCAGGCAAACGCTGAAACCTCTCCTGGAACTCGGAGTCCACGGCTGCCTGCAACTGCAGAACAATCCACACAGAGCAGAGCAGACATTACTTCCTGCTTACAGCCAAGTGTTGTCAGGTAGGACCACCAACAAATATTTCTCAGCTTCTAACAGGATCTCAGTTCAACTTTCATCCATTTTAGCATAAATTTAGAGCATGCATTTATTAAATTTAGAGCATGTCTAAATTTAGAGCATGCATGAAAGAGACAGGACATTATTTGCGTGCATTTACAGAGAGGAAGTACAAATAATGTCCTGTCTCTTTCAGTTTTTGTTTTTATTTGTCTAAATGCGATGTTTTTCTGTGTAACTACATGTGCATTCCACTCTTTACTAGTTGATAATCATGGCCTCAAACAGTCCTGGCAGAGTCCAACCTGCATTGAGAACAAGCTTGACTTTGTGCCAAGAATTCACCACAGCTCCTGCTTTGGTTCTACAGGGTCTGGATCACCCTTAATAACAACCCAGATCCCCCATATTCCCACAGCACCCCCCACAGAATGCCTCGTGGAACACGGTCACAAAACACTACCATAACCCTCTTAGCAACTCTTCAAGGGTAAAGATCTGGTCCACTGTTCCAGGACCAGGACTGAAGCCACACCGCTCCTCTTGAATCTGAGGTTCGACAATGGATCAGAGCTTCCCTTCCAACACTCTGGAGTAAAGTTTCCCAGGAGGGTGAGAAGTGTGATCCCACGATACTTAGAACACACTCTCTGGTCCACATTTTTAAAAATGGGAACCACCACCCTGGTCTGCCACTCCACAGGAGTTGTCCCAGTCCTCCATACAATGTTGAAAAGACGTGTCAACCATGACAGCCCCACAGCATCCAGAGCCTTCAGAATCTCAGGATGAATCTCCTCCACCCCTGGCGCTCTGCCACCCAGGAGCCCTTTTTGTATCAGGTTTTTAGCAGGCAAAAAACCCAGGGCGCAGGCAGGTTCAAAAATGGAAAACAAGGTCTTTAATTTAACTCAAAAGGCCGGCAGTACAGCACAAAAACTCTCATGTAAGTCCAGGTTACAGGTAACACGGAGGCAGGACACAATCAGGGCAGACTGAACAATGATCCGACAAAGACAGAAGACAAGACTCAGAATATAAAGCAAACAAATTAAGGGACAATGGGAAACACCTGGGGAGACACAAGAGGAAACAGGTGAGCAAGGGCGGGGCTGCAGGGCAGAGAAACACAGGGAAACACCAAAACACTAGAAAACTAAGGAAAATAAACACAGATATGACACTTTGACTACCTCCTTGACCTCTGCCATGGTAATGGACCCGTCTTCCCCTGAGTCTTCAATTCAATTCAAAAATGTATTCATTTCATCAAAAAAATATTATA